TTTTCCTCTGAATTTTTTTTTTGTTCTGAGTTCCCTCTCTCCTGCCCAGAAAATGGCCAGGTAGTCCAGAATGGGGTAGAAAATTTACAGGACGCCATCTAGGATCTTTTTATTCTGGTTCTCTTAGTTTTTATCACATTGTATACTGAATTCTAATGTTTTGTATATTTTTATGGGATTATGCCCCTTTGTACATTGCCCAGAGCTCAGTGTAAGCTAGGATAAGGCAACAAATTGATTATTATTAATAATAACAATTACAACAGCAATAATAACACATCATTATTCATTTCTGTTATTTAAGTTTCTTCTTACTCGTCAAATCCACAAATCACTTAATCATTTTTTGCATTTGCATGTAGAAAATCTATAAAGGGCAGGGGAGAGGGAACTCAGAACAAAAAAAAAAATCAGAGGGGGAAGGGCTCTTATGCGGCCCACAAGCAACTGAGGCAAGGGAGGGAGGGCTGGGGGGGGGGGCAGAGCCACTCCAGTATGGCTTTAGCACAGCAGAACAACCTCGCCTGCAGCAGTCAAGCATCGTGGGATCATCTGGAAGAGGAGGAGGAGGAGGAGATTGGATTTATACTCCGCCCTTCACTACCCAAAGGAGTCTCAGAGCGGCTTACAAACTCCTTTCCCTTCCCCTCCCCACAACAGACACCCTGTGAGGTAGGTGGGGCTGAGAGAGCTCTTGCCAGAAACTGCTCTTTTTCAAGAACAGCTCTTATCAGAACTATGGCTTGCCCAAGGTCATCCAGCCAGGTGCAAGTGGAGGAGTGGGGAATCAAACCCGGTTCACCCAGATTAGAGTCCGCGCACTTAACCACGACACCAAACTGGCTCTGTCCAGTGCTGCACTGCTGCCTCTCTGGTCCTCCTCTGTGGGTCTTCCTCTGCGCCCCCCATCCCACCCCAGGGGGCCTTGCAGTCAGGACACACCAACTCGGAGCTTACCAGCTGCTGTCCTTTATAGTTTCTATCTCCAGTACCTGGCATTACATTTCATGGCACACAAGCCCCGGCCCAACAAAGAGACATTTATGTCAGATCCGGCCCTCGTAACAAATGAGTTTGACACCTCAGGTCTAGAGGGAGATGTGAAACAAGATAAGCATCCTGAAGACCACACTTGTTATTCTCCTGAGTAACAGGAGACTAAGCATAACATGTCCACGTAGCCCAACAGGGCCCATGCTACATTAAGGGAAAGGATCTCCAGACTATGGACATTTCCCACCACCGCTCCTAGATTATTCCGATCCCAGAAGTGTTCTTTATTTTGGCATCTGCCTCCAAAAAAAGACTTGAATCTTTACCACCATGATCTATTTGTAATTTCAGTACATGGACTGTGCCACCTATCGTCCTGCTTTCTTGGTCCTCAACTGGATGAACCAGGGCGATCCATCAGGTAAAGGAACAAAAGTTTAAAACCGGTTCTGAATTGACTGCCTCAAATACAACAGAACGCGTAAACAGACTCATGGATAGTGACCTAAACCCAACAGCCTCTAAAAAAATATGTGGAATTCGTTGCCAGAGGATGTAGTGATGGCCACAGGTTGTTGTTGTTCAGTCGCACAGTCGAGTCCGACTCTTCGCGACCCCATGGACCAGATCACGCCAGGCCTTCCTGTCTTCCGCCATCCTCTGAAGTTTGCTCAATTTCATGTTTGTTGCATCTATGACACTGTCTAACCATCTCATCCTTTGCCGTCCCCGTCTTCTTGGCCTGTACCTGGCCACAGGTACAGGCAGCTTTAAAAAGGGATTAGACAGATTCATGGGAGACAGGGCTACTGGGGGCTACTAGTCTAAGGGAGCTTTCACACACACTAAATAACACACTTTCAATGCTCGTGCAATGGCAAAATCCACCTGCCAACGGTTGCTGAAGTGCATTGAAATTGCATTATTTACCACGCCCTGTTGTTGGACCTCCAGAGGAACTGGTTGGCCACTACGTAAGACAGGATGCTGGACTTGACGGACCGCTGGTCTGATCCAGCGGGGCTCTTCTTATGTTCTTAATTAACCTGGGCCCTTTTCACATATTACAAATCAGCAAGCTAGGGCTCTAACACCAAGTTTATACTCAGCAAAGAATTTCAACCAATCCCAGATCCGTGATGAGCTCACGAACACACAATTTGTCAAGTTATTGGAAGTTGTATGCCTCCCGCCCAAAAACGGAAATCATGAGGCAGCCCCTTCTTCTCATGACCCAAACACATTTAATACTCTCTTTGACGGAAACTTTACCTGATGCTGCCGGAGCTATTCTGCCATCGGTTCCAGCTTTAGAAGGATGACATAACGCCATATGATTATCTTCCTTCTCTTTACTGGGGTGCTCATTACAGAAAGCAGACTCTGCAGCTAGCAATGCTGAAACGTCCAAGTTACGGCTCAAGTCAAGAGGGAGGCACAGTCCGCGCTTCTCGAGTGAGACTTGAGCTACATTGGCAACTACACAAAAGAAAGAATGGAATGTTAACAAATACAAGCACGACTGAAACTTGGGGCTGTTGGGTTACACACCTAAAGAGGCACAGGTCTCATCTACTAGCCAGAAGTTCTCACTATGTGGGTAACAGTCTTGCAAGTGTCTTTAATAACTTGGTTTCTCTCGCTCTGGTTCTGTAGCCAGAGTGAAATACGTTACCCTCCAGTAATTCTGGCCGCTGACTTGGGACACTGATTGGAGAACACTTTTCCATTGGTGACTGGGGAGGGAGAAGGTACTTTTTTTCCCCCTAGAGAACCACGAGGCAACGAACCAGTCACTAAGCGCTGGGATCTTCTTCTTCGCTGGCTATTTTTGGAGGATCTAAGGACACTCACTGGTTGTGGTGGACCTAAAAAAAGACCTCGCAATGTTCATGAAGCACTCACAGGTCATTGTCTAACTCTAATATTAATTTATGACCATTATCAGGCACTTCCCTTAAGTGGTTCCCATCTGTCAGAGCACCGCTCGTGAAATATAGTAAGTAGAAAAGGGAACTACCAGAAGGCTAGAGAAAGGGTTTCGGCTAATCAATAGACCTAGCCTGTCATTAGTAGGCCTTTGCTTATGTAAATGTATGCTTGACAGTAGGCTCCTGGCAAGGGAACTAGTCTAGCACAAAAGGACACAACTTAAACTCACTGGTACATTTGAACTCTGATGCAAGGCCTCGTCTTAGCTGTGAGGACAGACCATGGGACCTAGCAAGGGTCAATGCAGACTACATCAAAACTTATCATGCAAAGGAGGATCCATATCTTGGTCCATTTCCCCCCCATTGCCCTTTCTGTAACAGTGTTATGGCTGTTGGATACCCCTTCCCTAGAAGGACAGCCACACAAACTCTCTGGGAATCAATATTTTTGAAAAAAGCATGGTTCCACTGAACTTATGGCAGAGCTCCAAACTCTCTGAGAATCAATTTTTTTGAAAAAAAAGGCATGGTTCCACTGAACTTATGGCAGAGCTGAGCAGCGTGTTTTTGCTGTTGTTTTACCTAGCTCTTTTCCATAAAGGTCACTGGGACTTCTTTACACCTTTCTCAGTTGTCTTCCTCCATTGTTGCATTTGGTATTTACACCACTTAAAAGAGCCCCACTTGGATTTTGGAGGGAGGGAGGGAAGAGTATGTGTTTATACATACATAAATAAAACAAGTTGGTGTACCTGCTTGCAGTGCCGATGTAACATCCGTGAAACATAAAAGTGAAGCGTTTTTGTGGTGCACTTGGGCAGCAGAAACCCATCCTAACTCAATTGTTGTGCTGGTTTAAGCCAGTCCTGTGATTGGGCTGTTAAGTTATGCAGACTTAGGCATTTCTTCTTCTGCCCCATGAGACTTTTACCCATGCAACATTTGGTGCTTAACAAGAGGATATTTTGAAGTGATCCTGTAAGTATATCGATGTGGGTGTTATGCTGGATTTGATTTAGATGCAAAACTGTTCCTAAAGAAGGCCTCCATGTGCAAGAACAACCCTAGATCCCTTCTTGGTCCTGTTCAAGGATTTCTCTTTTTTAAAAAACCCACATATATTGTGGTGATCACAGTGGGCTGAAATCAAGTCAAAGGAACAGGCATGCTGCTGACCAAAAGGAGAGATTTGAGCACGCATTCTTAAAAACTCTCTCCTTAGAATCAATGGGATGATAGTTTCCACATCTATGCAGACACTGAATTGCTTCCAAAGCTCCTATCGCAAGGACATCTCGACACTGTGCCTCAAGAAGGCCTTGGTACCTTAATTTCCTTGGTTTTCTAACAAAAATTGGAGGAAGGAGACATTTCGGCACAAGGTGAGAACCGCCTTACTCAAATCAGAGGCTACAGGGCTAGACTGTAAAAGAGTCCCTGGTCAAACTGCTATTCAACTTGATTTTCAGCATAAAAAGGCACAATATTCTCCTCAATGAAGGTTACTTACCGACATCCTGTGCTAGCGCAACAAATGTGGATGGTAACATTTAATGAGGGAAGGTTTAAAGTGTTATTTGTAATATAACATGAGGGGGGGGAAAGGGGGCACCCCCCACCACCCCCGCTTTCCCACAACGCTTACAGCACAATCCAGTCAAACCCATCTCCACTAGTTTTACTGGGAAAGTCAAGCAAGTGCTTAGCCCTTTTGCTGCTGAAATTAATGGAGCAAAAAGTAGAGATTCACGGTATGGAAAAACTAACAAAAACCCAGAAACCTGTGAATATAACAATGAAGAATTTATAAAAACTACTTGTAAATTTTTATCAAATGTTCCAAACTGGATCAAATGAAAAATGTTCCAATCAGAGTTCTTTGAAAATTTTGGAGCTGTTTTATCAGGCCCAACTAGGAAGCAGGAAGATTAAATGCAATATAGATTAATTATGTTCGGTTGCGGTACCTGCTCCTGAAGAACTGTGGAAATGGGATATTACCGGTGCCCCGTTAACAGGATCGCCTTGTCTCCATCAACATCGGACCTTATTGCTTCACCAAGAAGGACTGACTCAGATAGGATATTTGTTGGGACTTGGAGGTGTTCTCAATATTGAACTGACACCAGAGATACTTTGCATAATATTCTTCATTCGGATTGGAACATTTGATAAAAATTTACAAGTTATTTCTATAAACTCTTCGTTGCTATATTCAGGGGTTTCTGGTCTTTTGCTGAAATTAATGGAACAAAAGTGCTTTAAAGTTTGGCTGGATGGTGCCTTCTGTTCTCTTCCTACAAGCGTCATTTGTAGTTGCAAGAAAGCATTCCTTAATCGACTATGGTCCAGGAGAAAAGACCAAATAGAGACCCAACAGCCCTCCTAAATCACTGCACACTAAGTCCTCTGACAGGAAAAGCTGAGTGGTATGGTCTGAAATTCTGAAATGGGGGGGGGGGGGGGACACGACAGACCAGTATGTTCTATACTTCCCTGCCAAAAGACTGTAGTTCTCTTATATTGCAGGATTTCATGTGTTTCCCAGGGCTTTCGTACAGTCGCTTCCGGGGGATGGTTCTCCTACAGATTGAAACTTTTTTTTTTTTGCACCATAATTGGTAGAAATACGACACAGCACGGGAGAGGCTAAGTCCAGCAGTTACGTGGTGCCTGCGGAATTCCTCAGCAATGGGAAACACAACACATAAGAACAGAACATCTTCTTTTGAAGCAGGCAGGCCCTCTCCAAGCAGATCTGCTGAACCCCTTGCTGCTCCAAGCGGTGTGAAGTTGCGCTCTTGGCACCAGTACGGGAAGGGCTATTCTACAATGGAGTTTCATGGGCCATGCCCCTATGCTCAACAGGAACACGCTATCCCGGGCTTGCCAACAGCCAATCACCTTTAGCGAATAGAAACAGCCTCCAGGCAACCACGCAGGAGAAAGTCGGTGAACGGGCAGAGCAACTGGTTTTTCTTCCCTCTCATTTCTGAGTGGTTACCGTGCAACGAACTGCTAAACACAGGTTAACAACTAATGTTGTGGGTTGGTAACCGGGTAATTACAAAGCTCTATGATCACGTTTACATTTCGACCTTTTTGTTTGTTTTTTTCCCCAAAACCCACCTGAACATTCATTCAAAACAAAACGGAAAAAAATCAGTAAATGGCTCTCATAGGAATGTAATAAGTAATTATGGTATGGTTTAAAATGTCTATGCTCACTAGTTTTATTTATCACGGAAGGAGGAAGCTGGGAGACCAGGGTCAAATCTTCCACTTGTATTAACTCGGGGGAAATTGGTGACTTAAGGGGCTTTATACACCCTGCAGAATCTCCAGATTCTTGTTTGCATTTCTTCCTGCGAGCCTTCCCTGGAGACAAGGTTGAGGGCAACAGTGCAGATTTCTGAGTGTTGGCAGAACTGCTAATATCAGCTTCATTTTTTTTCTGACTTTGAGGCTTAGGTGATATCTCCTGAATAAATAATAAGAAATTGATACTTTTATTGCAGTTTCTTCATTGCAGGATCTTGTATTCTACTTTTGATTTTTTTAAAAAAATAAAAATTAACTTTAATATTCAACACAAACAAGAACTTACTTTCAAAACCAAGCAACTTTAAAAACCAAGCAAACTGATACTTAAGGCACACAGCCAAAGGTCATCGATCCCAGTCCCGCAATCTGCTCTGGACAGTCAGGGCTACAATGAATGGTTGTAGCTCCTCACCCTTCCGGGAACAGATTGCTCATTAATTTTAATGGAGAAAGGTGCAATCGGACACGTTCCGCTGGAAAGAAAGGTGACCCCCTCTATGTGCAAAAAAACCCATTTTGCAACCTGCATCTTTCTGCTCGTGAAACTCTAGAACCGGATGTAAGACCTTGACCATCTCTTCAGTTCTCATACACTGAAAGCAGCAGCTCAGTCAATGTACCCCGTCTTCCTAACAATAATCCACTTCTTCACCTGTTTTGAAAACTTCAGTTCCACTGGTGATTTTCCCAGCGCTCTGAAGGCATGACAAAGTGTTATCAATACAGAAAGTTTTTATTTTTTAAGGAAGCGTGCTGCTTTCATAGCCCACCCCCCATCCCAAGTCTTTAAATTTGTAGTAACCATGCCTACTCTTCCCACAAATCATTGTTTAGTTTTCATATGAGAAATGAAAAGTCTGGCTGGCAGTGTCCTTTCAATTTTTAAGATCAACCGTGACTGTTATATATAGATATAAAGATATATAGATATATAAAATCCGGATATCAAATGTCTTTTCAATAAAGATATATAATATCACAAGAACCAAAACTGTTACGATTGTTAGCGAAAATAACAAAACATGAATTAAAAGTTGTACATTAATCAGCTTGGGGGGGAGGGAATCAAAACATACCACATTGTCTCAAATGCAGCTGTTTATACTTTCTTTTTGTCCAATACACATAAATGTCTCAAATGCAGCTGTTTATACTTTCTTTTTGTCAAATACACATAAATGTTTCAAATGCAGCTGTTTATACTTTCTTTTTGTCAAATACACATAATTGAATGTTTAAAAGATAGGTCTCTTTTGACTTACCAATACTATCTAGTATGCAAAACCATGAAAATCCCTCTTGAAACCTTTGGAGAAGTTTGGTAATGCATTGCCACTTTTAGCAAAAAAAAACCCTCCCCACAACAGGCAACAAAATGGGTCAGATTATGAGTCTGGGAGTGTTCTTCTGCTTTTAGACATCTGTACGGCAAGAAATGCCTTTGCATAGAGAACCATTCGATTTCTTTTTGACTGGATCCGGATATTTAAAGTAACCAATCAGGAGTAGACAGCTTCCGAACCGAGCCATTTTAGCTAGTCTTCCATTCACATTTGCCCCTCTACCCGTACGGCTGGCAAGGCGAATACATAAACCACCCGCTTCCTGGTGTGGATCGAGATTAGATTTGGCAACTGCCATAAACACGGTGAGACTTGTTGTCACATCTGGTGCCGGGAATGGAAGACTAGAGAAGTCTGGGTTTGGACCTGGTGCACAGTCTGAATCTGCCCACTCCTGCTCTAGATCCTAAAAAGTCACGCTCAACTGTTTGCTGAGAAGCACCATGGAAAGGTCTGGTGGTGTGGAATGTACCATTCAGTGGCTGCCCATTTCTACCCTGGAAGCAGCTGCATTAATGCGTCGTGGAGCACAAGTTACCCACGTCAAACCGACACTCTGAATCTACGCTGATTAAGAAGATTACCAGAAATTAATTAGAGCCATAGCTTGTAAATAAATGACTTTATTGGTTATCTTCACATGTGTGAAAGACATCACTACAGCAACCATTAACTTTCAAAGTTACAAAAGTATTTAAAACAAGGTTTTAAAACTTGTTCTAATAAGGTGCTTAACCTCTTAACAAGGACAAAATTAAACATTAGAAGAAGAAGAAGAAGAAGAAGAACCCTTAAGGAATGTTATTCATTCATCTAAGCAGATCTTGCTTTAAAAAAACAAAAAAGGAAATACAAACATGGCCCAACCCTAATACAGTTAAGAAAAGACTACTGTACCTGCAGAGTGTAACCTGAGGGTTTAGGTTTTGAACACAGTTGTAAATTGGATGGGAAAGTGACATTTGGCAGTCTAGCAGGACTGCTGGGCCGAGCCTCTCTCTTGTATTAAATATTTAAAAATTCAGAGAGATGGTAAATCCTAAATGTGACAGCTCCACACAGTTTGGCCTTTGTACAGCCATTCTGGCCCAGGACAGATACAATACTGACACTTGGCAAAACATGGCTTGGGAAGAACGCAGTTTCTCTCCCACCTCTCCTCCCCTTTCCAGAAGGACGCCCTTCCCCCATTCCACTGGTATATGTGCAGGAACACTTAACCAGGTTTCCCTCTAACCATGGTCTGAAAACCAAACCATGGTTATAATCCCCTGGTTTACAGACGAACTGTGGCTTGTGCCTGCAGCTTTTAAAACATGGCTAACTTGGGAAGGAGAGGAATTGCGCTGGAGAAGGGACAGTGTTGTGTCACAGCCCGTGTTCCCTCTAAGCTGAGTTAGTGTGAGTTAGCTCGGCTTTTTTAGCCTCCTGCTCACACATTTTTGACTTCGCTCAGAAAGGATGGCTCCAGAGCAAACTAAGTAGCCAAACCGCTTGCTTGCAACTTTAATGCCAGCAGCTCATAAAGTAGAATTTTTGTTCACAAGACTCCACAGCTTAGAGAGAGCACTGGCTCACAGCTGGTCTCTATTTTTAACTCCATGGTTTGCTGGGAGTCAGTGTTCTATCTGTGCTGAGCTCCTCATGTTTCATTACTCTGCCATTAAGTGTTTCTTCTGGGCTAGTAACAAAAAAACAAAACCCAAAACCCATAAATGCAAGTTCAGGTTTCCCTACCAAAAAATTTGAAACTGAAAAATAAACTGGAAACTCAATGCTTTTTAAAAAATGAAAACTGAGTCCACATAACCAAGTCGCTTGTAAAGAAATATTAACCTGTAGACGGTAGATTTTTGTTTCTACCAAAAAGCTGACGCAGAAACAGTTGAATTTAGATTTTAAATGCAACGTGTTCTGTGAGTGACACATTAAAAATCTCTGAGCACTGGTTTCATTTCACTGTCGGATCTGCTCGGTAGGGTGGAGGAGAGTTTTGCATTGTGTCTGCAGAGGAGTCATCGGGCTGTCAATCATGTCGTGATACTTTATATTCTGCACGGCTGAAAGCAGCACACTACCGAAGGAAGCTGCACCCCCAAATCCTTTACCAGGGGTGCAGATTCACTGGGATGTCACTGAAGATGGCTTTTGATTACAGGCACGTCTGGTGAGAAATATTGTAATCTGCTCCTCGATTGTTTCTGGCACACTGTGGTTTGGATTATGGGGGGTTATACTGCAGAAACCCGAACTTTATTACGAAGAAAAGTGTGTGTGATACCGGTGAAGGAGCAATGAGCGGAGGCTCCAGATTTAAGGGCAGTGGTCTGACATTCTGAGAACCTGGTTTTATAAAGCCTCCTCTGCCGCCACTTCTGACTTGGTAGTTTGCAGGCCACAGTCTGCATCCTTTGTATTTAATTTTAAAAAGGTGGATCTGCTCATTACCAAAATAACACAGGGCGGCAACAGAAACATGCCGGGTCTCATACTGAAGCAGTGCCCCCACACACACACACACACACCGAAAATCTAGTTCTGTTTTTCATTAGGATGTGCTGTTCTCTGTCCTGTCAGCGCAGCAAACAGTGGGCTGAGAGCAGAAATGCACACCTTGAATCTTGTTAGGGCAGGGCTAAACTGGACTAGAAATTACAGAGGGTGCATGTGGGGGACGACTCAACAGGAGAATGTTTTCCGTGGCAGCCCTGTGTTCCTGATGCCATGCAATGCCCCCCAAAGAAGCAGCACAGCATGGAAATGTGCTATTATTTATGCAAAAATGAGTTGACAGCATAGCGACTCAAAAATGGTCATCATGGCTCAGGCAAGCCTTACAAGCTGAACCGAAGTTGGGGGATCTCACGCACATCTCTCAGACCGACTAAACGACCCTCACCACCTGGTTCGGCCCGTCACCAAACCGAGCTAAAATGGAACCAGAGCTCTTAAAGCAAACCAGAACATACTCGGGTCCATTTAACCTGGAAGGAAACCGTCACCAAAGCCAGGTTCAGGAGGGCAGGAGGAACTGATCCAACACAACCCCCAAACTCAGATTCAGCCATTAAATCCGAGATCGGGAGTAAGTGAAAGCCACACACACACCATAAACGGTGCGCTTCTAGAAGCAGCACAGGATTGATGGAGAATACAATAGTAATGTTCGTACAGGTTCTTTAGACCCAATTAAATTACAGCGTGAGAGAAAGTTCTGGAAAGGGACTGGTTTAAGGTAAAAAGTGATAGAATGAAATAAGAAAAGGGAGGTGTCTCGGTTTTGCTTTTAATCTACCATCCTCTAAAGAGCTAAGATGACAAAAAAGCCACATTAAAAGCTATATTAAGGGTCTGATCTGAACAAACAGAAGTGTGTGTCTATGTTTAGGACTCTCTTTAGTAAGCCTTTGGACAAAATTTGCCAACACAGGAACGCTTCCGTGAGTTACTTGTGCCTGAACACAGTGCTAAACACGTTGACGGCACATCTGCAAGGTAGAGAGAGGTTCTAGTGCACGCTACAGCCAGTGTTCCCTCTAAGCTGAGTTAGTGTGAGGTAGCTCACAGATTTTTAGCCTCCGGCTCCCACAATTTTTGTCTTCGCTCAGGAAGGATGGCTCCAGAGCCAAACTGCTCGCTCACAACTTTGATGCCAGGAGCTCACAAAGTAGAATTTGTGCTCACAAGACTCCACAGCTTAGAGGGAGCACTGGCTACAGACACTCCTTCAAGGACCACACGTGTGCCCCTAAGGGGGCACAGCCCACTTCTATTTACAATCCATATTGTAAGCTGGTGATGTTTGGGGGTGGGGGGCATGGTGGGTGTTTGGGCAGCACAGAAGTGATTACACGCCCGAAAAATTCCTTCCTGTTTCTTTGCTTCCTACTTGATAAGCATATAATGATCCTATACAGGAAATCACGTATGGCTTTCCGTCCGCACGCAGAAAGAAAGCTCGCTGTTTGCACAAAGGTCCAAACACCGTCCAGTGCTTCACTGGGCAGGTTGGACTGAAGGTAACATAAATTCCTCAAAAAGGGCCATCGCGTAGGAAGACGGAACGAGCTATGGGGGCTCCGCTGATCGGCTTGAGTGGGAGGCCCTTCCCACATGAACCTGACAAAGAGCTCTCTGCTGACTCCCCAGCTGAAAGAGCTCTGCTTCAAGCTGGAGCCCTCCCTGTCAGTCTGGTCTAGTGGCTAAGTGTGCGGACTCTAACCTGGGAGAACTGGGTTTGATTCCCCACTCCTCCACTTGCACCTGGCTGGATGACCTTGGGCAAGCCACAGCTCTGGCACAGCTGTTCTTGAAAAAGAGCAGTTTCTGTCAGAACTTTCTCAGCCCCACCTGCCTCACAGGGTGTCTGTTGTGGGGAGGGGAAGGGAACGGAGTTTGTAAGCCGCTCTGAGACTCCTTTGGGTAGTGAAGGGTGGGGTATAAATCCAATCTCTTCTTCTCTTCTTCTGTCAAGAGGCCTACTGGTGAGCCCAACAGACAGAGTGGGCTAGTTTCTCGAGGGCAGGAGCTGTGTTATCGCTTGCAGATGCAAACTGCGTTATCCTTAATCGTGAGAAACAGGAACCTTATTCACATTTTACAGTGAACATATACATCTTCCATGTACACGTGTACAGATGCTTGTAAGTAAGCGCCAAGGTGCACTTGCTTTCCACACAAAACGGTGCAAACAGACGTTCAGCTGCATGTGCACTGAAGGTAGAATGAGGATTACTCGCTGCATGTGTAAAGAAAAATGAAGTGCACAATGTACACATTGTGCGCGCACTCACTGTAACTTGTGAACAGGGCCAAAATATTCGGGGGGGGCAGGTACTGCTGGGTACACTGCCCCTCCCGTCCCAGCAAAAAACAGCACATTTAGCATTGTTTTCAGAAACAGGAGTAAACTCTGGGAATGAGCCTGTGCGTCAGCTACAGCATAAGCAGCCGTTCCTGGTATGGTTAGTTATCTAGCCTTGCTGTTAGTAACCGTGTCATGTACAAGGTGTGACAGAGGCTGGGGGAAATTAAAATGGAGCGGGAGGCAGCTAAAGTTAGAGTGTGACCCCCCCCTCCCACTTCAGACATAGGCTCAAACCAGACTCCTTAAGATGCTTTTAATGTCTCTTTTATGTATTTATTAAAAATATACATCCTAGCAAAAAAGAAAAAAAAAGTATGGCTCATTCAACAGTTCATAAAAACACATACAAGTTTACAACACCAATTCTTACAATAGAAAGGAAACTTCTTACAAAAGAAGTTTTGCTAGATGCCAAAAACAAAAAGGGGGGGGGGAACCCTGTGTCAAAAGCACAAAACTGAATTTTGTGTCAAGGGTCTAAGCCACTTGCAGGTACAATTCTGGCTATATTGAAATGGTACCTGGGAAAACAGACATCGCTGAGGTCGTGACTCTCGGGATGTTTGCTTATGGAAATGAAGGTAGTCATGAATTTGGGACACCAAGCTGTTCGATCCTAAGCACACCCTGCGGGAGTCCAGCCCCACCCATCTGAACCGGCTTCCCTATAAATGCATTCTTAGGACGGCAGGTTTGCTTCCAGTAACGGTCAGGTGTAAACATACCAACGATTCTTTAGTCTCCTATGACTTCCTGTCTGGCAGCGTGATTTTTTTTTTTTTTAGTTATCACGGACACCCGGTATTTCCCACGGTACATTTCAGAAGGACCCTCGCAAAAGAATCAAACTCTGCAATTTCATACCTGCTCCAAGACTGGAGCTGCTTCTTTGTTGCCTTCCTTTTTTTCAGCACCATCAGCGCCAACAGCTTTGGATGCCAGCAAGCCTAAATAGAAAGGGAAAGCACACACGCAGCATTGCTTTGAGTAACTCTGCCATGAATGGGAGAGAAGCATAAGCTTGCAGATGGGTGCAAGCGCCGAACAGAAAAGCCAGGAAAAAAAGCTTATGCAAGGGTAGAATTATGCATGGGTAGAAGTAGTAGTCAACTTACAACCCCACCCCCCCACACCTGGTTGATGCCAGTCTAAGAAGTTTCTTGTCCCCCAAGTGCCTTAAACAAACCTGGACTGGAAAATCAGGTTTGATTAAGGCTGCAGACGGTCCCTCCAGGCTCATTTTTATTCTAAACACCAAACCACATTGGAAAACCTCTTTCAGTTCGTACACTTATTGTTTCATTCATTTAAAACACTGATTAGCTTCATGTCTTCCTTACGGAGCTCAAGGCAGTCCACGATAAAAATAAATACATGAAACCAGAATTTAAAATTGCAGTTCAGGAGATTTCACTAAGATGTGGTCCTAAATAAAACTGTTTTTAGCTGCCTCTTAAAGACTGAGAGTCGGGGAGGACGGGGAGGGGGGGGACAGGCACACCTCCCTGGGGAGGCTGTTCCATAATTAGTTGCTGTACATTTTCCGGGTTGTGTGGCCGTGGTCTTGGCCCTGTAGAACCTGATGCTTCGCCAGTAGCTGTGACTGGCATCCTCAGAGATTAGAATTTCAACAGCCACGTACAAAAGAACCTCCTCAGGAAACAATTCATATGCAAAAGAACCTCCTGAGGAAAGCTCCCCCATTAGCATGTTCACAGCCTGGGGAACTCCTACAAGATAATGACTCAGCCCTACCCCACCTTCCTGAATAGATATAAATTACCTGCCTACCATTTTTTTCTTCTCACCTTGACACAGAGAGTACTCCGTCTTTTTGTGTTGTACCTGAGGATGCCAGTCACAGCTACTGGCCAAACGTCAGGTTCTACAATGCCAAGACCACGGCCACACAACCCCAGAAAATCTACAGCAACTAATGAGCTCCGGCCGTGAAAGCCTTCGACAACATATAGTTCCATAATTGTGGGGCTGCCACTGAAAAGGCCCTCTCTTGTGTACCTACTACAGTTCCAGCAAAGCCCAGTCTATACCCTGCAGGGGTCTTTAATAGAATATCGGCAGATGCAGTAATGAACACTGCCTATGGATTTGCAGGGCAGGGAATCAGCCTGATATGTATTATACTGTATTATGAACGATGACACAAGTGATAAATGACAACTGATCGTTACAGCTGTGACAACCGATCGTAGCTGAAACTGTTTTATTAGGCAATTTGGGCCAGTGGTAATTAAACTAGTGCCGTGGTTCAATGCCGGAGCGGAAATGGAAGAAGCAGCCCCACCGCCAACTCTTCAACAAGGGCTTACCGGTGATCTTATTGAGACGAGCCCGCTTTGCCTGAAATGAGTTGCCGAGGTTATTTTTCCTCTTGTGCGCTAGTGCATTCTCAGCCTGCGCAAAGGCAATCTTTGGGACGTCCACTAGAGGGAATCCTGTGTACAAAAAGGAAGAGATCTTTTACCGAGACCACATTTCAGAAACCGTGCCTAAAGGCAAATAACATATACATATCAGAATGAATTTTATGCACTAAAGGGAGGAGTCAGTTTTTTAAATTGTATTTCATCTATTTGAAATAGACTTCTCACATGTTTCCATGCACTTTTATTAAGTGGGGTTTTTTTAAAAAGAAACACAGCTCTAATATTCTTTAGGTCTTATAACAAAAAATACAATCAACAACAAAAACAACCCAAGCAACATTACGCCTAAACGAGGAAGGAAGGAAGGAAGGAAGGAAGGAAGGAAGGAAGGAAGGGCTTTACCACAAGCAACAGGAAACCTGAGAAAAGTTTAGAGAACTGGATCTCATGGAACATAACTTCCCACCATCCCTGCCCCAGTTTGCTGTATCCCCCAAAACACATTCCCAGGGAATGTAGAACTCCTCCCCACCACACAATTTTGGGCAAAGCAGAAGATGAGTTAGGATCCACAGCTCATTTTTTAGCTGCTGCGCTGCAGTCACTGGGCTGGATCCAAAACAAACATTTCTACTCGCGCTAGAGCTCTTGCTCAAATGAGAATGCAAGTAAGAGACAATATTAGCCTTAAGTCAAGCTTGTTATCTTGCATTTCTTCTTTCAACTGCAGCTGGTCTCTCACACGTGCAAACTTAGGGATGGGCACGAACTGGGGAAATGGAGGTTCGTGAAGGTTCGTGGGGGTCTCACAAACCACAAACCTCCAAGAATCTTTCTGTTTAATGAACCAGTTCGAGGTTCATGATGCAGAGCTGCTTGCAAAAGCCATTTAAAGGGAACCTTTCGCAAGCCGCACTGCCGCCGCCATGGCACAAGTCACAAGTAAACTCAGAAGGCATTTAAAGTTTCTTTACTTAGTTTCTTTACTTAGTCACCCCACTGCCGGCACCAGCATGTCTGCCAACACGAACCACGTGAACCTCACAAAGCCACCTGGGAGGTTCGTGGGAAGTTCATGGAGGTGGAATGGCACGAACCAAGGTTCGCAAACAAAGAACTGGGCCTGCTTTATGATGAACTAGAAATAAGGCCCGTTGTGGAAATAAATACAACGAGATCTAGAAAGAGGCTCTGGGAGAGTGCTCTGGCTTTGGGCAAACAGTATTAGTCTGCTTTTAAAACATGAACCTGGGACCTGCACAGCACCAGAATACAGCAGGTTCCATATGCAACTGACATTCCAACTGCCTTGGGGGGGGGGGGGTTTGAGGTTGGGAATGGAGGGAAGTCAAACTTGCTTCCATCTACAAAAGCGGTTGTCGCAGCAGTTGTGGTGTGGGCGGGACCCGGGCTTTGCCTTCTGATTGGTGGCGATATATGCTGAGGAGCAGTGCCATCAGCCATACACTAAGGGAGTGCATTTTAGAATTAGAACTTTGGCACCCACTATTCAATTATATATAAGGAGAGATTTCAGTTCGTAATTCGGTTCGTACCCATCCCTATGCAAACCTTCCCTGGGTGCCGTAGGCAGCTACCAATTCACTTCTTTCACTTCTTTGCGGGGCAGGGGGAAGAGCAATTTCATTTGTACCAAATGTCTCACTGGATGTAGGCTGCTCTTCCTTCTTCTGGACTTCCTGGACAATTGTGGAGGTGGATGATTCATCCTTCTTTGAAGGTATTTTAAACCACTTTCTCTCCTCTTTGTCTTTATTGCTGTTCACGCTGGTCCGCGGTTTACCTCCAGCTTTATTTTTGGCTGCTGCCACTGCTGCAGCTTTGACCAAAGCTATCCAGTCCTTCAAAGATGGGGAGAGAGGAAAAAGGAGAGAGAGGAGATGAACCGCTTGTTTGGTTAAAAGGAAATCCAGCTGCAAACGGAACCCTTTTATAAAGAAAGTTGTTGGGGAAGGGAAAACGTGGAATATTCAAGATCTGCATTTTTAATTTTTTTCACGCAAAACAGTAAACACGAAATAGACGTTATATGCTTAAAAACATATAGAAACGACTATGTAAACCACTGGGGCACTGGAACGATCCAGGTGGGCTGGAACGATCCAGATGCAGATCTACAAACTGCATCTTTTTGTCCACTTCTTGAAGGTAGATATCTGAAAAGGGGGCGGTAGGCCGAATAGGTTTGGGAACCACTGATATAAACCAACAATATGCTATCCTACAATCTTGTGTGCATGTACCACTTACAGAGCTTCGTAAAATCTACAAAATGCTGTCTACACATCTGCACGTCGTCATGGCCTTTAGCCATTTTATCTACATATTCCGTGAATGCGATGAAACTACAAGAACACTCGACGATCTATTACTATCTCTCCCGCCCCGCTCCCCAACTAAGGCCAGCCTTCAACTGAAGCAGTGACATGCTGATATTCCTGTTATATTTTATGTTATTGTACCTAATCTGAAGGATCTGTATAGCCACACACATGTGGGAGAGAATGTGGCCCACTTTCTAATTAACAGTAGAACAAACAGCTTGAACGTGAGGCTACTTCCCATTCACCACATCTCACTCTTAGATAGAAGGATCCACTAGTTAGGGTTTCACCTGGCTATAAGAACACACCCAGTCTGGGCAATGTTATGAACAGATGGGGAGGAGGAGAAGGAGAAGAATAATTGGTTTTATACCCTGCTCTTCACTATCCTAAGGAGTCTCAGAGTGGCTTACAATCGCCTTCCCTTCCTCTCCTCACAACAGACACCCTGTGAGGTAGGTAGGGCTGAGAGAGTTCTGAGAGAACTGTGATTGACCCAAGGTCACCCAGCTGGTTTCATGTGGAGGAGTCGGGAATCAAACCCGGTTCTACAGATTAGAGAGTCCACTGTTCTTAACCACTACATTACACTGGCTCTTTGATGAAGTGACATGGCCTCTTGCACACTTCTGGAAGCAGAGACTTCAGATACGGTGAAATCAGGGAATTACTGAGGGAAATAGTTACTACACTTAAGCAGTCATGATTAGATCAAGGTTACAGAAAAGCTACTCAATAGTAGGATGCCCATGTGAATATACAACTATGCTAAATGGCCACAGGCAGTGTGCAAAGTGCATCACTCAGGATGGGGAGACTACGCCCCAAAAAGGTAAAGAAGGCAAAGCAGAGCCGCCTATGGCTACCTATCCACGTGGGCTACAGGTAAAGGTCACTATCCAAAGTTGGGGTCCCAAACCAGGCTACCCGTCATTGAAAAAAGGGGAGCAAGACACACATGACATCATGTGAGAGGAGGGGCTAGGCCACTGCAAAAACTCAGACAGTTTCAAAAAGTACACTGTGGGGCTACGTTCTGGCTCCAGTTACATGGCCAGAGGCTTCCGTTCTGAAGCATCCCCCCCAAAAAACCCTTGGAATGTAAGGAGAGAGCATGATGAGCCAAGTTTTGGAAACAATTCCCAGTAAGGAAAGAGAAAAGAGGTCTCTGAGCGGGGGGGAGGGGAATGCTGGGACTTGGAAGATGTCTCAAGTGACTTTAAAGTAAAGGTAAAGGTTCCCTTGCTCGAAAGCCAGTCGAATCCGAGTCCAGGGTTGGGGTGCTCATCTCCGTTTCAAAGCCGAAGAGCCAGCGCTGTCCGAAGACGTTTCTGTGGTCATGTGGCCGGCATGACTAAACACCAAGGCGCACGGAACGTTGTTACAAGTGACTTTACTAAGCCTTAATAGAAGAAGAAGAAGAAGAAGAAGAAGAAGAAGAAGAAGAAGAAGAAGAAGAAGAAGAGGAGATTGGATTTATACCCCGCCCTTCACTTGGAGTCTCAGAGCGGCTTACAAACTCCTTCCCCTCCCCACAACAGACACCCTGTGAGGTGGGTGGGGCTGAGAGAGCTCTGACACAAACTGCTCTTTCTCAAAAAACAGCTGTGCCAAGGTGCCAGAGCTTGTGACTGAACCAAGGTCACATCAGCAGGTGCAAGTGAAGGAGTGGGGAATCAAACCCGGTTCTCCCAGATTAGAGTCCGCGCACTTAACCACTACACCAAACTGGCTCCCATGGTGCACCATACATGGTGCAAAAATGACACAGTTCAAAACAAGTAATTCTGGACTGGGGATTTTAGTGGGAAAACCCTAATGGGTGGCTTCTGTTCTTTCGAAGACCTGAACACTAAGGCAACCAGATTGTTTGTACTCAAGTACTTTTAGTTAATTATTGAGAGGTCCTGAATAAATAGCCAGAGAGCTGGGTTAAACGGAAAGGCTTGTTTCTCTCAAAGGCTTCTACTGCTCCCCGTGAACATGATGAGTTTATGGGCAATTATGCCCTATCCTGCCCCTTCTGCTCTTAGCCCTTGCATTGGAGACAAGCCTCATGTGAATGGCAGGAAGGACCCTTTTTTGGATGACAAGAAGGAGGAGAAGTGAGAAGGGCCCAACAAAATCAGAGTCCTGATGGCAACTTTTTCCTCAAGGATCAACAATAAAAGATCACTCTTAGCCAAATGAAACAAACATCCTTATCCACAGCCAGGTTCTTGCACCGCTTTTTGGAAGGAAAATATCCAAAGCAGCTAGTGAAACACTGACCACCGACCAAGCTCCCTCCCTCTCCATTTTCCTTCTCCTACTCTTTCAGCCTGCTGCAGCAGGGATAGGATCTCAGGTCCGTGTAGGTGTCTTGCAACTATCACACAGAACTCAGGGATCTTTACGGGGGAAGCAACAAAAGAAGTGATGCATCTGCAGGGACAGACGCTCAACGTACATTATTACCCACAAACCTCTCTGTGCCTGCACCAAGGCAATTCTCGTTTGGTAATGGAGCTGCACGGTAACTTCATGCAAAGGTCACCAGCTGTTAATCCCCCTGCAAGAGCCTCCACATTTAGAGTGATTTCCATTTTACAACCAGCAAAGACATGGATGGAAAGAAAAGCATCCCAACTCCGTGCCTCAGGACAGACTCCTATTTTCCTCATCGAAACAGCAAACATCACAGGATAGTTACATTGCATAAAGACAGTGCATGTGCGTTTATATCTCTTAAGTTACATATACCTTTAGAGCAGAAACCACTTTCCTATCTATACTTCTGGAGGAGGAGGAGGAGGAGATAATTGGATTTATACCCAACCCTTCACTCGGAGTCTCAGAGCGGCTTACAAACTCCTTTCCCTTTCTCTCCCCACAACAGACACCCTGTGAGGTAGGTGGGGCTGAGAGAGCTCTTGACAGAACTGTCCTTGAGAGAACCGCTCCGACAGAACTATGGCTTGCCCAAGGTCATCCAGCAGCTGCAAGTGGAGGTGTGGGGAATCAAGGTCTTTCATATCACCTGATCCTTTCTACTGGAGGTTGAACCTGGGACCTTCTGCACGCAAAGCAGATGCTCTGCCACCGGGCCACAGCCCCTCCCGTTCTGTAGTATTTTATTAGAGTAAAGCAGATCAGGCCTCCACCAGCTAACCTAACACACTGCTTAGCGTACTTTCATGTATAACTTGTAGTGCTAGTTATGTCCACCCAGTTACCCCATACAAAGTGCCTGACATAAGGGTGAGCGTGTAAAGATTGGCAGCAGAAAAAAGGCCTACAGCAAAAAGACTAAGAATAAAGGGGGGCAGGGGGATCATGCGACTGACAGACGGGAAAGAAAAAAAGCTTTCTCCTTTTGGGAAACAATGCTCAAGCTGTCCTGGAGGGTGGGATGAGTGCATTACTTACAACTAGTTCTTTAAAGGTTTCCCTCGCTCAAAGGCAGGCGAATCCGACTCTAGGGGGCGGTGCTCATCTCCGTTTTCAAGCCAAAGAGCCAGCACTGTCCGAAGACGTTTCCGTGGTCATGTGGCCGGCATGACTAGATGCCGAGGCGCACAGAATGCCGTTACCTTCCCACCGAAGCGGTACCTATTTATCTACTTGCAATTTCTTGCTTTAGAACTCCTAGGATGGCAGGAGTTGGGATCAGAGACGGCACTCGGGTCTTGAACTGCTGAACTACCAACCTTCCAGTTCAGTGTCTCAACCACTGAGCCACCACACCTGTACTAAAGGACTTGCTCCTGAAATCTTATTCTGGTCGCGACGTGCACTTAGACAAATCCCACTGTTGTGGCTTCAGTCAGCCGACTTGTACAATCACAGACCTCTCCAGGGCAAAGAAACCAAAATGGATTGTGAAGAACTCCAGGAGGACCTGTCGATTCAGTGAGTGGGTAACCATATACCAAACGAAGTTGATGGGCAATAGATGCAGGACAGATAACTGTAAATGTGTTGATGGGGGCTGGCTGAGAGAGAAAGAGATCTTGGGGCAGCAGTGGACAGCTCAATGAAAATACCAACTCAGTGTGCAGCAGTGATGAAAAAGGCTAACTGGGCACTTTTAGAGAAAGGATCCAAAATAAGACCGCTAGTAGAGTAAGTAGCCTTATATAGATCTATGGCATGGTTTCATTTGGAGTCCCATGCAGGGGTCATTTCGTAGAAAAAGAGCTAGGGGAACTCATTAGCATAACTCATTAGCATATGCCACACCCCCTGACATCAGGGGCCCGGCGGTGGACCTGCAAGGCCAGCGGGAGTGCGAGGAAGCCCCACCAAGGCCCTCCCTGGCCCCAGGCAGGCGGGGGTGGGGAGAGGCGGGGAGGAAGCAACTTACCCTCCCTCTTCTCCTGCCTCCTCCTGGCTGAATGAGGGCTGGAAGCGGGGCGGCCGGAAGCAGGGGGCGGGGCTTCATCATGTGCCCCGCCCCCCTGCACCTCACCTGGGGGAACTGCGATCCCCCACGTTCCCCCCCGAAATGACCTCTGGTCCCATGTACGATTCTGGTC